CCCCCAAAACCCCAAAACCCCAAAACCCCATAAAGAGCAGGGTTATTGAAATAGCTACTGTGGCTATGAAGCCTTCAGTGATGGCAGAGATCTCCTTGTAGTTGATAACTTCCTGCACTTTGTTTTATCAAATCTAGTTTCTTGTGATGCTCCTTATTCATGACATAGTGGTGTGAGGTTCCAATGCTTGATCTACGACCTTTAGGATTCTTCTGTAATTTTCCCTTTAAAAATTCATTTTGGATCCCTAGAAATTTTAATGTGGTGAAATATTTCATAAAAGCTCGTTGATGAGAAGAGAATAGAGACATACTGTCGTTTGTTTGACTATTTCTTTTGGTAGAGAGTAAATTAAAATCCCCCGTAATCTGATTCTTGATTAGCTGTGGGGTTGAGATAACTTAATAGCTTTACCAGTGCTCTCAAAGACATGGTCTTCTATTTTAATGGTCATATTCTTGCATTTTTCTATACAATGTGTCGATTAGAACATTCTTAAAAAATACCTTTGATAGTTCTTTCCATTCCTGACCTGAGCAAGTGAGTCTATGAATGAGATCTTTCTGCACAAGCAAGTCCCTTTTGATCTTTTGGAGCTCCTTCTGATCCAGGTACCTAAAAGTCTTGGTCCTCTTCTCATCACTCCTTAGACTTGTTTAGAAAACATGGTTTGGGGTTTTCCTCCTGGCATGTAATGAGCCTGGAGTCTACCAGAATTGTGAGTGATGTAGTAATCCCTACCATTGCCATCAGATATATACTTAAAGCTTCCAGCTTCCTTATTTGGGACTGGGGAAATATCGCTTCTGACCTTGGTGAAAAGGGTACTGCTAGCTTTAGCTCTAGATTCTTCAAGACAAAATCCTCCATTATTCCGTAAGATATAGGTGTCCCTGCCACACCCATGAGAGATATAATGAGGATATTTTTGATGGAAAGTCCTTCCCAAGTTCTGACAACTCTTTGCTGATAAATTCATCTTTAAGTTTCCTTAATTAAAACTCAACTTTTGTAGAAATATAGGGGTTTTGGGGTTTTGGGGTTTTGGGGTTTTGGGG